GGGGCTCTGAGCAACCTGATTGAGTTCTAAGTGTCCCTGTTCATTGCAGGTGGTTGGAATAGATAGAAGATCTTCAAAGATCCCTTCTGACTCAAATGATCATACGATTCTACAATTTTTTCTATGCTTCTATACTTTTATGACTCTAGTAGCTGGCTGGGAGCCTGAGCAGTGCGTGCCCTTCTGACAGCTTGTACATGACAAGGCTCTTGTCTTCCTAAATCATCAGATGGTTGCCAGTTGAAAGAAGTATGGATCACATTCCAAACGATATAATCTACAGCTACAAACACTGCTCAAATAATCATAGCTAAATCCATAACAGTAGTTTAACTGAGGCAGAGTTCTACTGGGTGGAACTGGTTCATCTCCAAAGGAATTGTGCAAAATAGGGGTATGTTGAAGAGGGACATGTTCTGTAATGAGAACTACTAAAGAGATTGTCTTAAGAAACAAGATGGCAGGTAAAAGCCTAAACTTCAGAGAGGGAAAAATGTACACCTGTTGTCCACCATCACCTAATAAAAGTATCACAGAAAATCTTTTGAGTCAGTACTTCATGTCAGATTGTGACAGTTTGCAATCCAGTGTATTTAACTGAGATTGTTCGGAGAAACAGAAGCAAAAGACAAACTGCACCTTCCAGATTACAGTGTGATGCAGAACTGTATTTGCCATCCAAGTCTGCTAATCACCACGAGCACAAGTCGCTGTTCTGTCCATGCCAGGCTCTGCTGGCAGTCAGACTGCTCAGACAGGGCAACAGTGTGGATGGGTTTGTTCCTGCATGACCATCAGGCAAGACGAGGTGCAGCCATGGGCCTTGGTAGAAGATATGGCCCCGTCAATTCACACGTGCTTTGGTTTCTCCTTAATCACAGCTAGTATGCCATTTCTCTTTGATACTGGCTGTTAATTTTATAATTGAACAGTGGACTGCAGCTATGGTGGAAAGGGAAATAGTCTTCTGGAATTTAATAGCATAAATTGGAAATAAAAATACATCTCCAAACGTTGCATTTTAAATAATGCTGTATTTCTTAGGAAAAAAAATCTCCAGATAAGAATGGAGTGTTTTTCTTAGACTTGCTAACTTTTGAAGTTGACTGATGCATGCTTAGGTTGCACAGATTGAAACTGTTTGAGTATAAGAAAAGTTAATGGATTTCCAGGAGCTCTGTGTGAATATTTATTTAGCTTTTGCACCCCCCATTTGAAGTGTAAGATCTATTTGCATTGATCTGAATCACTTGCAGCTTTATTGGAAAATCTCCACTGCTTAAAAAAATCTGCTATGATAATTTAACTCATCAGCATGATAATGCTTTAGGAAATGAGGTCAGTTCAGATACAATAGGCTAAAGTTCAGCATGGATTCCAGTTTTTGTTGCTAATTGCAAATGCATATGCATATGTTTTCTTCTTAAAATTCCTTTCCATGGTTGTGATGCTAGTTTTAAACATCTCCTATTGGAGTGTGATTTTAAAAGAGTGGTAGTGTTTTGCTCAATGGCAATTTTTTTTAGTCTCGTGGTTTTTCTTGATATAGAAGTCTTACAAAGAAATACAAGAATGGGAAAGTAGATGCACTAGGCAGCATATAAAGGAGTATTTGATGAGCTCAGAGAGGGCATGTTGCTAGCAATAATCGGCAGCTGACAAAGCTCAGAAGCAGCTTGTCTCTGAAACAAAGATTGCAATTGTTAGGCAGCATTTGTTTAGGGGGCTAAGCCACTTATCCAACCTATTTCCATTAATTCATGTAATGCCAAGAAGAAAAATACTCCACATACCTCTGAATAACTACTACAGCTCTAGAAAGCAGCCCAGTCTTTGAAATTATTTAAAAAATAACAACCAAAACAAGCAGCAGGGGAGAAAATGCAGACTGTGGCAAGAAAGTAAGATGTTGACCTGTATTTGAACATTGGAGGAGTACCCAGAGGACTGGGGCTGAAGATGGAGAGTAAGTTATCACTGACGTTCTCTGGAATGATATCCAATAAATCATGACATGGAGAAGGCTGTAGGTTGCACTTGAGCCTTCTATCCAGTTCCAGCAGCACCTCAGATAATTCGCTGGTGCACAATGCATCTCAACTCCCCACTGCAGATCCTTGCTTCACAGTGATGGCTGGATTTAATTTACTGACTATACATGTAGTGCCTGCAGGGTTGGTGGGGCTGCAGACTACTGTGATCACCTGAATGTGTAATTGTGTGGAAAAAAAAGAAGGAAGTGGATTTCATTTTCCACAAGGTGCGCTTTCCACTTTTGCAAATAACAAAAGTGGATGCAAAAGTAGCAGGAATGTACATTAAACTAGCCAAGAATTAAGTGGATGGAAAAAAACCACCATGAGGGCATTTTAATTGGTGACTAGAAGAATGTTTTCCTAATGTGTACTTCCTACAGGAGGACATCCATTGTTTTGTTTCAGACCAGAAATTTCAAATTTCAGAGGACACAGAACAGCTCCAAAAATTTTAGAGCTGCTTTTTTTTCTTTTTTTTTTTTTTGTCCTGAGTGTCACATTTGTAGTACAGTCAAAATATATCTTTACACACACATATAATATATAGCCTACATATATATCATACAGCACAGCAAGATGTATCAGTTAGTGATCATGAAGTGACCTGGAAAATGGGATTTTTAGATATTAAAATGATTGTACAAGAAGGTGAAGAGAAGAAATACTCCATGAACAGCATAAGCATACAGCGATAGATGGAAGACAGGGCTAAAATGGGAAAGTCATTCTAAGAGACAGTTGGACTTTGCCACTCTGACATTTCATCTCATGGAAGTGAGAAGACAGAGTCAGAAACTGGTAGCAAAGAAAAAGTAGGAAGACTAAGATGAGGAAAAATGGAATACGTATTGCTGTCATCAGGCAGTCTTAAAATAGATTTTGGATAGGCAAGAGATGTGCAGAAGGCGGGCATAGTAACAGAAAAGAAAGAAGAGCTAATTACTATGTATCTTCAAACATCCAACCAGATCCAACCTCTTCTCTCAGTTTTCTGGCACCTGAAATAACACCTGATAATCTGGCTTCCGTCGTTTAACACTGCATTCTCCTGAAATCAGGGGGGAAAAAGTGTTCTTATAGTCTCTCCAACATTCTTTAACAAAAAGAAAAAAGAAAAAAAAAAAAAAAAGGAAATAGGTCAGATATATTTGCTATTCCAAGGTTGGATTTTGGTGCAGTTCTGTACTCAATTTGAATTAACATCACTGTTGGGACGTTAGACATGCTCTAAAGATCTGCATTTAGTTGCATCATCTGATGCTTTGGCAAATTCTCATGGACTCATGAAGCAGCTGATAGATGTAACACCTCAGGCGGTCACTTTACACGCAACGATAAACCCGCTGTTGTGCTTAATGAGGTCAGTGAAGCATCCAGAGAAGACACACATACTACTGCAGTGTGGGTCTGCACTGCCTGGGCTTTTTAGGCTTAATGAAGCCGATCCTCAGTGGCTGGGTATTCTTGTTGAACAGACTCAGTGCGGATTTTAAAACCAGTATTGCTGAAATAGGTGTTCTTCCATTCTCCTTGGAACACTGTGGCTCCTCCTCTTCTACAAAGTCTTGTATGTGTTAACGGTTTTGACAACAACCATTTGCCTCATTTTCGTTTTAAATGAGGGGCAGAGTCCTGTTGTTTTTCTTGCCTGTTCTCTGAATGCTACATCCACTGTAAGCTCGCTCATAGCCTGCAGCTTCCCCTCTAGGTTGTACACAGTCTGAAAATCCCGACAGGAATCCCAAGCAACGTGCACGTAGACCGACGCTTTTCTATTTCTAAGAATCCAAGTGCCCACGGGAAAAGCTGCATCCTAGCGTCCCTGCCACATCTTCGCACATCACACGGACTGCCCGTCACAGTCTCCCGTTCAGGAGGCTGCAGGGAGCGGTGCCATTTGCTCACATTACAGGATTTCTTTTAAAGGAAACACTTTCGTTTAAAGAGTGAATGAGCTTTTAGTTTTTGAAGGTGTTGCTTCCCACTGCGGTGCGGTACAAATAGGAGCGGTACTTGAGGCTGAACGTTTTCAGCGAGGATCAGAGGCAGCGCAGACAGGAACGTGCCCAGTTGCAGCGTGAGTGTCACAGGGGTAATCCACGGCAGTGTGGCTCAGTGGCCCGCGTCCCGAAGCCGTGTTCAGAGCCTTCTCCGCAAGCAGGCAGTCAATCTGCCCGCACGTGCAGGCACGCAGCCTCCTCACTGTACACCTGCGAGCGGCGACACACGAGGCACCGAGAGTTTCACTGCCCAAGCACCTCTGTGCTGACGAGCAGTCACCACTTGCTTCCCGGCTGCCACCCAGACATCGCATAAAATACACTCTAAGCGATGGGGAAAGGAGCAGAGAGGAGGCCGTGATTTCCACCGCACCGCGTGGCACGGGTCACCCCTGCACGCTGTTTCGACGGCTCCGCGTGACAGCGCCAGCTGCGGGCAGCAGTGCCGCGCTCCGGGCGGCCGTCCGGGGTTCTGGGGGGGCGGCCGCTTCTCCTCGCACAGCTTCCCCTCCTCGCACGGCTCCCAGCGCGGACGGGACAGTCTCCAGGTGCAGGGCACGCACGGCAGAGGCACAAAGGTAAAGAGCAAAGCCGAGATCACGCTCGCTGCCGGCTGCGGTTCGGCGGGGTCGGGGGTCAGCGCGGCGGAGAGCGGCGGGCGGGGACGTGGCGTGACCGCCGCCCCCCCGCTCCCTCCGCAGATGTGCCCGGCGCGGCGGCCGCCCTCCGCTATGACGAACGGCCGCGGCAGCCCGCCGCCCGCCGCCCCGCCGCTCCCCGCCGCGCCGCGCCGCAAGAGCCCGCCCCGCGGCGGCCCGGCTGGCCCGGGCGGCGGGCGGCCGCGGTATGTCATGCAGGTGGCGGCCAAGGACGGGCAGCTGCTCTCCTCCGTGGTGCGGACTCTCACCACGCAGAGGTAGGGAACGCGGGGAGCGAGCGGCGGGGTGCAGGCGGGGAGCGGGGTCGCGGCTGCGCTGCGCGGAGCTGGAAAGATGCGTCGGACGGGGCTAGCCCTGGGCTTCGGCGGGACGCTACCCTTCGTCTGGCCTCTGTGGGGTAGCTCACCCCCGCCGCGTGAGTGACCCGGAGGCCCGAAAGGGCTGTTCCCCCTTTATTTGCAATAACTTTTTCAAACCCGGTGGTTCTGCACGTCCCCGTGGGAAGCGGGAGGGCGCGGAGCTGCGCGCTCCGCCCCGCTTCGGTGCGCCCCGCTTCGGTGCACCCCGCTGTCTTCTTCGCCCCGCTGCCGTGAGGAGCCGCGCCAGGCACTGCCAGCAGCTGCGGCGGGGGGAGCCCGGGAGTGGGGAAGCCGCCGTGCACCCTGAAGAGAGATTCTTCGGTAATGAAGTTGGCTAAGTTCGGAGTCTCCAGGCTTTCTCTAGAAGGAGGATCACCCTTTGCACGTAGAATCACAGAATCGCAGAATGGCTTTAGCTGAAAGTGACCCTTAAGCCCATCCAATCGGCAGGGCCGCCACCCACCAGACGAGGCTGCCCGGAAACCCATTCAGCCTGGCCCTGAGTGCCTCCAGGGATGGGGCACCCACAGCTTCTCTAGGATGCTGAGAGAGAATGCGGGAGAATTGGCTGCGGGAGGAAAGTGCTGGACATGGCGTTCCCTTCCCAGGCTGCTCTTTTCTACTCTTGGGCAGCAGGTGGGGGACTGTCCCAAGGAACGGTGAGTGACCGTGCTTTCACAGCAAATGAAGCTATTCCCTCATGACCCTTCCACCTGCCAGAGCTGTATGTTTGTTTTCTCCCCTTTTTAACACCCACACAACAGACCCTGTAAGTAAGTTTATGCACATGGCTGTGGCTGTAGCCTGGCAGCCTACTGCACTGACCACAGAGCAAAGCATGCACCTTGCAGACATTTCCTGCGTTGTGAATTGGTGGTGTCCCTGGCAGCAGGGCTGTGTGCTGACCAGCAGTGTGTCTCTCCTCCCGCAGCAGTCCCTTCAATGACCGCCCGATGTGCAGGATCTGCCACGAGGGCAGCAGTCAGGAAGACCTGCTTTCTCCTTGCGAGTGTATGGGGACGCTGGGGACCATCCACCGCAGCTGTCTGGAGCACTGGTTGTCCTCGTCAAACACTAGATTCTGCGAGCTCTGCCACTTCAGGTTTGCAGTGGAGCGCAAACCCAGGCCGCTGGTAGAGGTCAGTATGAGGGGCACATCCTCCCGAGCTCAGCCCTAATGAGCACATCGCGTCTGCTTTATGTGGGCATCACAGAGATGCTCTGCTGAAGCAAGAGCAAGCTGGAAGCCTGAGGCTCTGCAGGGTGAGGGCAGGAGCTTAAGGAAAGGGCATGAGCAGCAGAGCCTGACTGATGATTTTGCTTTGCTATAAACATAAGTGAAGGTTTGGGGAGCAGTTTGTGTGAGGAGTACAGAGTACAGCAGCCAGGGTGGTGATGGTGAGAGGTGTGTCACAGATATGTGGTAGCTTCTGCTAGATATATTCAGAATATTTGATATGTCAAGAACTATTTTCTCCTTGCTTCGGAGGAAGACAATACAAATCAAGGAGGAACCTGGCTTCAGTATTGAGCCCAAAAGAAGTAATTGTTTCTGTGCAGTGTCTGGCATTTTCAGCCACTCTGGAATGACCTTTTGGCCTCCTCTTGTCTGGGTACCAGACCAGACTGCGAATTGGTAATTGTTCTTCCCTTATCAATTAAAGTCAGTTTCAGTGAACAATAGATGTTTTAGTGGCTGCATGAAGCTTGCCAGATTTTTTTTGCATCTCCAGGAAAAGAGGGGGAAAAAAGCCCAAATAATTATCTCTACCATGTTAATGATTTTTTTCTTTCTCTATTTTCTTTTGGAGGAAAAAAAAATATGATTTACACTGAAATTAAAAGTGAATTACAAATAATAACTATTTTTAGAAACGATGTGAAGTGACCATAGCGGTGGTGACGCAAGTACTTGCATGCTAAAGTTTGTGCTGAGGGCAAAGTGTCCTTTTTGCTTACCTTATTACCACAAATTACAGCAGAAAAGGTAGTAGTTATGCTGTTGAAAATGAAGGAGAGGAGTTCTGTTTTGCCCTTGTTGCCAAGTAGGAGGATACAGGAAAACGCTGACAGGTGGGATTTGGTGGGATTCAGAGCACAGGCAGTGGTGAGTGAGCAGTTCTCATTGAAGACCACCAAAGCTGCTCCAGGCTGGGTGAAGTTAGGTGTTCCCACTTGTGTCTGAATCCGAGAAGATCTTCATTCTTCCTTAGGATCCACAAAAACAGAGATGTGGGAGCTTTTCTTACAGCCAGATGCCCTGAGCTGGGCTTGAACTCCTTTTGCTTCCTTGTTGGTGTGGTTTTGGTGCAATGATGTTGCCATCCTGAACTGTTCTTCTAGAAGGAAAGATAAGCAGTCCTGAGAGGGTGTAAACAAGCAGTTTGATTTTAGAGTCTGTCTTTATCAAGCTGTTCCCTTACAGTGGCTGCTCCCGAGCCTTGCTTTGTACAAATAGAGCATGACTTATCTCAGAGAAGCAAGCCTCTTCGTGCTAAAAATCAATGGTATTATTATGATATGATATATAATATGATGTACAGTAACAACTTAAAAGCTGCTTTTTTTTTTCCTCAGCTGGAGACAAGTGGGAGGGACAGGGACATCTCTGAAATATGGCACACATTGCTCACTGAAGTTTTTCTCTTTACTATCCAATCTTTTCTTGCTTCTCAGCCACCACATCCACACCACAGTATTTTAATGCAGTTTTTGGCGGTTGCAGAAAGGCTTGTAATAAAGCAGCAACTGATTCTCTTACATTCCTTTGCAGTCTTACAGAAGGAGTGTGTTTCCGATTTAGAAGGGAATCAAACTTATTCTTTCAAAGCTGAGAGCATCAAAGACAAAAAGTGACTGAGATGGGCTGTTTGCAAGGAAATAAACCTAAGCAGGAAGATGTCAACCAGACTTCTTGATTTCTGTTGCTGTGATACAAGTTTGCACTCAAAGTTTGCATTAATCTATTTCACACAGTGCTTTGTATTTCCCAAACCTCCCCAGTCAAATAATTACAGCCAATCTGAAAAGTTCCCAGAATTTAGCTGCACATTGCAGCTAAACCAGGTTCAGGTTTCCAGATCCTCTCACTACCTACGCCCTCCAGCACCATCTTACCTGCCTCCCTGTGTTACCTAAAGTAACAGTAACATGGAGAGATGATTATCAGATAGATCAGACAAAATTTCACAAAAACCTGCTCTAAATCATGGACTAATGGCAAGCCAGAGTGACCACCTGCTTCTTATTCCATTGTGTGTGGATAAGAGCTGTGCGTGTATGTTTGGGTGATGGGATGACAAATAAGGCAAGTACCATCAACTCTCCAAGCTGTTTTTCACTCACAAAGTGCTGGCACAGCTGACAATGTTAGACACAACCCAGAGTCAAAGTTCTCTTCATTTAGTAGAATAATTAGTTCTCCAAAGGTTCTTTGGAACTAGATAATGGAAGTGGTAAATGGTCCTCTTAGTGGAGATGAATGATGAGTTTATGAATGCATTTTGGGAGGTCAGGAGGGATTGATGTACTCATAAGGTCATTTATAGAGTGTAGCCAAGATAAGCATATCTAGTAATTCCTCATCAGGTCCTGTCTCATGCAGAGACTATATCCCATTCATTGGTCAGTAACAACCACAACAAAAATGCTTGAAGCAATCCATCATACTAATATTTTCTCTTAGAGATTTTTCTTCAGGGAAAAAAAAAAGAGTTGCTTCTATCTATTGAAAGAAATATCATTCACTTTCCTAAAAGGGACAAAAAAAGGAAAAAATTCCTCTCACTAGTTTGATTGCTGCTTCTAATGGGGCATAGCCATAAGTGTGTGAAGAAGATCTCGAAGGAAACAAATTGATTTACTTACTTGCTCTACATAGAAATGTCATACCCAACAAGCTTTCATGCTGTTAGCACCCAGGAGATGCTGCATTAGTAGTGGGCTTGAAATGAAGTGAGCAGAAGGTGGCGTGGCTGGCTGTTCGGCCGTCTTCCTTCCTCCCCTGTGTATGTTATTATGGAAGCAGCAGAACATTTCGTGCTGCAGTTAGTTATTTAGTCAGAGCAGCTTAGTGGACCCATTCAGTTTCTCCCTTGATCATGGTGTCAGTTTGTCATTAGTATATTATTAAATGAGAGCAACTACTCCATGAAAATTTATTGTGAGTTGGCTTTTTGCCTTCTTTTTGGCAACTGCTTACGTTCATGCTAAGGATGTGTGCCCTTGAATAGGAGACCTTCAGCTCAGATTAAGGGAATGTCTCTACAGCTGTGTCCTGCATTAATTTGCACAGGATGCAAAAATGCAGGAATCTCACCTTTGCTTTCTCCTCCCAGCTTACATTATGAGCAGCAGCCTTCTTTTTTTCTGGATTTTTTGTTGTAAGTTATGGCAAAAGAAATTTGATTTTGACCTTCGTTTTGTCTTTCATTTGTTATATCTTTTCTCCATCCTAAGTTTCTATCTGGTCAATTTTGTTCCAAGGTATATGTATTTCTCATAGGAGACTTTCCTTTAGCTGTTATGCCCTGCAGGCTTCTGTTTGGTTGAGAAACACTTCTCTGTGAATGTACAGTGTGCTGGAGTCAGGAAAGTCAATCCTCTCAACATTGTGTTTGTGAAGTTTTGGGCATTCTTGATGTACATTCTCTCAGCTCAGATTCTTTTCCTTAGAAGAATTGTGTTTCTTAACTATGTGATTGGGACGATATTTATTCAGTCTTCCAGGAATGCGAGTTGCTCTCCACCTTTTCTACCTCAAGGCATCATGCCATGGTTCTGGGTGGTAACATATGAAGGCTGTGGTCCTGTGTTTTTCTCTGATGCTGGAACATACAGAGTAATACAGGAGGAAAACAAATTTTATGTTGGTTTTGATACCTGTTTACTACATTCTCATTTTTGCCTTTTGCACTGGGAGAAGTGCTCTGTGTGTTGTTCTTCAACAAGTAAAATAAGTATGCACCAGGGATATGCAAGCACTTCATCTCCACGGGTATTTATCAAAGCTTGTTTGGCAGAAAGCATTGTTCTTCTTTGCATTCTTCTCTGTCTCCATATCTTTGGTCTCCTTTGTGTCAGAAGTGCTGCCCTGTGTGATTTTACAGTCACTGTTGAGAACTGCTTGCTGCTAGGCACTTCACAGGGTTAGTTATACAAGTGGTTTGTGTGCAGCAGGTGTGGAGTGATAGGGATTGACAGCTAACCTGGAGCAGTCGCACTCCCTCCACATGTCCCTGCTTCTGCAGGGATTTTGGCTCAGTGGATGGGCTGATGCTCCTCTGCCTTGGACTTTCATTTCACAGCTACTTATGAACTTGTTCGCAGCAGCTGCACTGGAGATAACTTGGTATATAGTTGCAATAAAGTAAAGAGATGATAGAAAAAGTGCTTTTTCAGTACATTTGGGACATCAGGAACTGGGTATCAGATATGGTAAACCTGGAGGACTACTATCCGCTCCTGCTCTTTCAAACTGGGTCACAAGAGGCTGCAAATAGAAAATTACAAAACACTGAAAAGGACTTTATGTCCTTTGGGCATGGCCCTCTTCTGGACTGACTCCAGCAGCTCCACCTGTTTCTTGTTCTGGGGGCCCCAGGCCTGGATGCAGTACTGCAGATGGGGCCTCACAAGGGCAGAATAGATGGGGACAATCCCCTCTGTCTATCTGCTGCCACCACTCTTTTGATGCAGCTCAGGATACTGTTGGCCTTCTGGGCTGCAAGCAGACACTGCTGGCTCATGTCCACCTTTTCATCCACCAGGACCTCCAACTCTTTCCCCATAGGTCTGTTCTCAAATAGTTCTTCTCCCAGTCTGTATGATTATCTGGTGTTGCCCCAGCCCAAACACAACACCTTGCACCGTGCCTTGTTGAACCTCATTAGGTTCACCTGGGCCCACTTTTGAAGGTCTAGGTCTCTTCAGATGGCATCCCTTCCTTCTGTTGTATCAATTGCACCACTGAGCTTGGAATCATCTGCAAACTTGTTGAGAATACGCTTGATCCCACTGTCTATGTCATTGGTAAAGACATGGAAAAACACCAGTCCCAAGACGGATGCCTGGGAGACACTGTTTGTCACTGGCCCCTCCTGGATGTAGAGACATGGACCACAGCACTCTGGCTGCAACT